TTGGTGGATGGGTGGATGGATGAGAGAGAAATAGAGAACACAAGGCCCACCTTGCCCCAGGCTCACCTCCAACCTTACTTGGCTCCGCAGGGTCCCTCCTGCCATCCTCAGGCTTTGCAACTCCTCCTGGACCAGCTGTCTCTGAGCTGACAGTCATTCTGTTGCTGTTGCCGATGGCAGTGTCCTCAAGGAAGCATGATTTGATATGGACTCTCTGGGCCACCTCCTCCTTGGAGGAAGATCCTGGTTGGGGCATTCGAATTTCAAACGAAGCTCCTGGGCCTTCAGCGGTGGCAGAGACTGTGGGTCAGCCAATGACAGAGATGTCAGGAGGGCTGCAAGAGCAGCGGGATGGTGGCCCCGAGCCCTGACCCCCAGCCTGGCTTTCAAGTTCTCCCTCCAGGAAGCCAGGCCAGGCTCGGGCCACAGCCGAGACCCCGCCTCCCCGAGCACTCTGCACACAGCCTGGGCTCCCAGCTCTCTCTGCCATCCAGGTCTGCCGGCATGGGCATCACCTCCTCCCGTGCCCTTCCCCTGGGGTTCAACCACCTCCCCCCACCGCCTGCTCCCGTCTCTGCTGCTGGCTTCCCCACGGCTCTGGGACACCATCCCCACCTGCGGTTAAAACCTCCACATGGCCATAGCCAGGCCCCAGGCCCTGGTACCTGGCTCCTCTCCCATCCACACTTTGGACAAGAGCTGCACACCGTCCCCCCTCCTCCTACTCCTGAGCTCCTCTGTCCTGTCAGGTCACCACAGACCCCTGTGGCCGGACCCCATGGAACTCCCCGAACTCATCGGCTTCTCCTTCCTGGAAACTCTCCTCTGGGCGTCGCCGGCCTCCCTGCTGTTTTTTCCTGCCCAGCCTGTCTCTGGGTTATCAGTGTCGGGGAGGACTTAGCCTGGGCTCTCTGGTCACTGTGGACAGCACTTAATAGGGCACCAGGTACTTAGAGGGCTCCGGTGCCCGCTCCTTAGATGCCATTCCAGGCTGGCCATCCCCTCTGACCCTGCTTCAGCTGGTCCATGCCTGCTGTACAGACGAGGAAACCGGTTTCACCGAGGAGGGTGGGTGGTAGGGAGTGGGGTCCCGAGCGCTAACTCTAAAGCCCCGCATGCTCTACTCTGTGAGACAGCCTCCAGGCGGAAGGAAAGGAATTTCCCATTGTGCCTCTCTCCCTGCAAAGAATGGCTCAAGTTCTATCCGGCGAGGAGATGGATGGGGTGGGGCAGGGCAGGATGGGGTACCTGGGGGGCTGCCTGGGGGGCTGCCCAAGGGGCTCCAGGCTGCAGGGCCTCTGGCCTGGGCACCGATGAGGTTCATCTTGTTGCCATGTCCCATCTGTACCTGTCTGAGCACAGACTTCTCCATGTGGATGTCCTGGGGTCCCCAGGCTGCAGCCGGGGAACTCTGAGTTGAGGGATCAGCTGGCGCCACTGGGGGGAGGTGGAGGGGAGCCATGGTGCCTAGCAGGGGACACAGCAACATGACCTCAGGCCCCCACCCTCTGACGCCCTCTCCCCCCTACACACACAAAGTGCTGGCTGGACAGAGGAGATAGGCCTCTGAATTCTTTGTGAGCTCTACTGGACTGGGAATGAGTGTTTCAGGCCACTGATGGAGAGCAGGTGGGCCCAGTAACACAGGTAGCGTGGGGCTCCCCAGGGGTTTACGACTGGCACCTGGGGTGTCCCTGGGGCACTCGAAAACCCAGTCAGGGAGCACAGCTTCTGCTCCCTGGTGCTTTCAATCCTTTGAACCCACGAGGGCAAGTCTCCTTGGGTGTTGGCGAAACTTTAACACCCCTCAACCGGGAGCATTCACCGCCTTGACATTGTTTTTTCTTCTCAGTATTCATCTTTATAGTAAACTTCCTGGTTTTAAACTTATGGCCATGCTATAAAAGTTAACTTTAAAATAAATTTGAGTAGAATAAAAAGGCAAGTCATTTACCGACATTAAGTATATAATCAGACATGGGCATGGCCAAAATTGGGGAGGGCAGAGCCGAGAGGACTAAGGTCGGGGAGACACTGATCTAGAAAAGCAAAGTTCCTCATGTCACTGCCAGGGAAACAAAAATCCCAGAGTCGGGGGTGGTGTGGGGAAGGTCTCTCTGGAGGTCACAAGGAGGATTCCAACTTTTGGGCTGATGCTGTCAGTCGTGTGCCACGGCTGGTCTGATGGGGGCCGTGCGCCCTTTCACCCCCGTGCCTGGCCGGGAGTAGCACTCCTTTGCGGGACTGTATTTTAACAAAAGTAGGGTGCCGCTGGTAATATGCAACCCAGTTTCTAAGATGTTAAAATGTGGGGGGAAAAGTGTATCTCAGAACAAACGAAATACTGCAGCGACCCTTGTGACATTCTACTGAGGGAGAGTGAACATTGAGTTGTTTCTCATGGCAAAATATCAGGTCCCATAGAAACCAAGGCAAAAGGTATCAGAATGAACAGAAACCAGGAGAGGTTTGATCCAGGCACCAGGGGAGACTTCCTCATTCTCAGGAAGGCCCCAAAGGAAGACCTTGGAGATCTGAGAGCTGCCCCTTCTCAGAGCCCGAATGTCCCCCTCTCTGCTCCCACCCGGATGGAGCAGGTACCCCTACCTACAGGGAGCGGGTATCTCTCCGAGGACTCACTATTCTCTCCAGACGCCACCTGTCTCATGATGACGTTCCCATGTCCAATCTGGATGGCTTCAGACTTGTCAATGGAAATGTGGTTATTTGGCCCATTCTGACAGATGATGTTGATTGAAGTTTTCTGGCAAATAATCTCAGTGGCCGGATTTCTTCCTCTCAAATCTGCAAAATCATATTCCACTCCAGCCCTCTGCACCTCTCTGGGGGTCAGGGGTTCCAAATACCCGAGAGCAGCAACACAATCTCTGGTGGAGCTTGTTAAAACACAGAGGCCCTGGTGTCCACCCTGAGGGTGCTGAGTCATGAGGTCCAAGGAGGGACCCAGGAGCCGGCGTGTTTCACAAGCCCCCCCCACCCCTGGGTATCAGAGATGAGCCTTGCTTAGATGTCCCCGGGGCGGTCTCCCTATCTATGTGTCTTCTGCCACCCCCGGGAGGGTCCTGGGAGCCTCACTGCCCACCTCATCCTCTGTCCCTGTCGCTGTGAGGCATCCCCTGACCACTGAGCTCCAGGACCCCTCTCCCCTTAGCGAAGGCGGCAGGGGGGCCGTCCACGGGCTGTTTCCGGCCACTGGATAAGCTTTGTTTGGCTCACATGGCATTTTTAAGAATTGGGATTCTTTTCACCAGTGTTTAAAACCTGGTGGCTGTCATGTTATCACACCTGCAATGCAGGGACACCCCCCCTCCTTGGGCGCCATGAGCCTGTGCACCATCCCACAGGGCATGTGAGCACCTGCCTGCGGCTCTGCCGGCTCCACACACGGGGCCACATCCCACCTTTGTGGGCCCTCAGCTCTTGTGCCTTGGTGAGTCCCTTCCTCCATAAAAAAAAATATTCAAAATTACCACTTACGACAGTGGTGGGATAAAGGCAAACGTGATCCAGGCTGGAGTCATGATTAACTCTTCATTACTATTACAATCTGCCTCTTTTCTTCTGATTTTAAGAGAAATTAGAACATTGTCGTGGACCCCTAATGCTAGGTTGGGTCCGTGCCTGCTGCACCCGAGGGAGAAGTCTACCGGGCCCCCACCCTATGGGTGGCTGAGCCCAACCTTCTCTTCTGGCAACTTCAAAACTCCAAGTTGGGCAAAGTGCTGACAGAGAACTGTTAGCAAACTCAGGCTGAGCCCCGCATCCCAGGGCTGCTATAATGAGGAGTGGGACACCTCTCCTCCTGGCCCCTTGCCTTCTGCAACTACAGCCTCAGGCCACTCCTCCGGGAAGCCCTCCTTGCTTACTCCCACCGGCACACCCACCCTCCTGGTACCCCCTTCTGGTGACCCCAGAACAAGACCACTGCAAGCTTCTGCGACAGTCTGACAAGGAAGCTGGAGCTGGTAAAGTGCTGGGCAGGGCGCCCACAAGCATTGGATGTTGAGGTTTCTCTTCTAGCCCTGCCCCGTCCAGGTGTGGGCTGCAGGTAAGGACCTACCTGGTTGATAAATTGCCCATATACTTGACTTCTCATCGAAATCCAGAAGATGCTTCCTCCTCATGGCGTACAAGTCTGGGTTGACTTCTTTTGCTGTCTTCCTTCCCAGCTTCTGGGAGATGGTCAGGGCCTTACAGGGCCCATGGGCTTCCAGAATCCTGTAGATGTCTTCCTCTGGGAGGCAGGGCGGTGGGTGGTAAAGGAGGAGCCCGGAGTGTGAATCTCCACCACTCTTTGCTAGCTGTGTAAACTTGGGCCGACCCAGACCCCCTGTGCTCAGTTTCCCCATCTGAAACGTGTGGTACATAAGAACAGTGCGGCACAGAGCCCGCGCTAGGGCACGGGGTGGACATACACCGCTCCGAGTGGTGCCGGGCACATGGCAGGGGCCCATGGCAGGTGCAACTGCGGATCAGAGCGATTTCTCAGCCATTTAGCTTCTTCCACTGTGCAGACTGAGTCCTGCCTCTGGACCGTCTGGGGGAACCTCCTGGTGGGCGGGGCAAGAGTCCCATCTCAAGTGGCCAAGGAGAGTTTGGGAAAGTGGGATGCTTACGCTGTGTAGTGAGCCGAGAGCCAGCTTCCTGTGGCACTGCAACTACGCCTTGCTGGGGCCTCTCTGCTGGAGAAAGAAAGGGGGCCCGGGGGCATGAGGGGTGGCAGAGGAGACAGGGAATCCACTGGACAAAGGCGGGCCGCTGCACAGCGGCCCCAGTGCGCGGGCGGTCTGGACTCGGAGTCTAGAGTTAAACCAACCTGCCTTCAAACCTGCCCTGTCGCTCTCCACGCCCCCCGGCTTCCCTGCTAACTCACGCCTCTGGGCAAAGAGGAAGAGTGCCATCCACTCATGCCCGGGCTGCGGGAGCACCTGACAGATGCCCGCTCTGGGACCCAGGGTAAGCCAAGTCTGTTCTACTCGTATCACTACTGCGGCAGTTGTCAACAGTGTCACTGCTGACGCTTTGCTGAGCGCTTGCTACGTGTGGGCGAGAGGCTGGGCCCTCTGCGTCTCACCCTCTTGCAACCCTGGGCAGCAGATCTACAAGGCACGGCCAGGGGATGCCACGCATCCTTGAGAGGCGGAGCCTGTATTCAAACCCAGGCCTGCACCCCACCTGTCCACTGCCAGGACTGCTCGTGCTGGCCCCTGCGCCCCGCCGCTCCCCTCCCCGGGGCAGGTTACCCTGGTTGGGCTGGGCCAGCTCTGTGGGCTCCACTTCTCCAGCCCTGCCCTTGCCCAGACCCCATGTCGCCTGGCCTTCCAGGGAGACTTTGGACTCTTCCTTCATCCGGTAGAGGACTTGGTTGAGTTTTTTCTTGGGCACTTGGCACTCCTTTGCCAACTGGAAAGCCTTCATGGGGGAGCCAGTGTCCCTCAGCATCTGCAGGATCCTCTGCTCAAGGTCTGGGAGAAGGAGAGAAGGGCAGAGAGGGGACTGAATCTCCCCCGGATGGATCCTGGGCTGGAAGTTCGGGGGCAGGGGAGGTGCCTCCAGGGCAGAGGGAGGGGCAGGGACCCGAGCAGACATTCGCTAACAACACCACTGTTCAGGGAGGGATGCATGCACTGGTCAGAAATGACCTTGACCGGACAGCCTGGTGACCAGAGGAGGTGCCCCAGGCTTCTGAGCATCCTCTGCCTGGTGTGAGCGCTTGAGGGCGAGGGGGGGACACTCAGCCCCCAGACATCCTCAGAGCAGAGGGGAGGGGAGGGCGGCGGGGTGGGGTAGAGTGAGGGCAGGAGGGCAGGAATTGCGGGGAGACAAAGGGCCTGCTGGGAGGCGTGGTGTCCCTGCCTCCCTACGGCACCTGCCCCTCCTCGTGGGCTCACCATCCACATCAGTGGTGCGTCTCTCCATCCAAGCCAGAAAGCTAAAGACACTGAGAAACGGATCTTTCTCCCTGGTGCCGTCACAGAGAGTCCTAGAAACCTTGTTCCTGGCTCTCTCTCGAACCTCCCCTTCTTCCCTCTGTGCCTCTGTCTTCCTAGTCTTCATCGTCATCTCCCGGACGACAGCAGCTCCGCCGGCCGCCGGCGGGATCCCTCCGGCCCACCCGCCCCTCGGCAGCCAGAGCTTCCCTTCAAGTGCCAGCCTGCCGTGCTCCTTCCAGCCCGCTCAGCCCTGGGCCTTTGCACACACTGCTCCCTCTGTCAGGAACGCTCTCCCCCGCCCTTCCACCCACCCAACATCTACTCAGCCTCCAGGTCTCACTCAAACACCATCTCTTTTGGGGAGCCGTCCTAGGTGCCCCGAGCGTTTGGGGTGCTGTGTGTGGGGGTGGGGGGTCCCCGGCAGAATGTCTCCAAGGACCCCCTTGCTGTGCTGGCCGGGTCCACTGCAGTATTTTCGGTGTCTAGCACAGTGCTGGGCGCACAGTAGGTGCTCGGGAAACGGCATTTGAATGAACGAGTGTCTGAGGGGGTCTGCCCGGCACGAGGACAGGTGTCTGCCCAGATGATGCAGGGCAGGGTATGGGCAGCTCCTCCTGGGTTTCTATTTCCCCACTTGAGGTTAATGACCCAGAGGCTGGAGAAGGAGCTCTCTGAACGGCCCCTGCTCCTCTCAGACGGGCTCCCACAAACCCAAGCCTGCGGCTCTTTGGGGAGCCGAGAACAGAGAGCACACAGTGCCTGGGGAGCTGGAGGGAGCCCCCGTGGGCTGCAGCCCAGTCTCTTGCCAGGAAATCTCTGCCCCCAAGAACCCCATGGGAAACGCAAGGCAGGGTCCTTCTGAGGAAGACCTGGGGCCCCTTGGCAGGGCAGCAGCCCGATCCTTTGCCTTCTGGGTTTTTCCCTAGTGGGGGAAGGGGTAATCCACTGGCTGGCTCTACAGCTGGGCTCTGAGGCTCCATCTGGGATCAGGACACATTCATCCGTGCTGGGTGCAGGTGAAGTGCATTTAGAATGCCTGGCGGCATCCACCCCTTCACCCACCAAGCTCTACCTCCGGTGGCCGGGGATCCCCATCCAATCAACAGCAAGCCTGGCTTTGCCTTGTCTTGAAAAGAGTTTTGATTTTTAAAAAGCCTGCCCCTGGGTGAGCTTCTTCCCCTCCCTTCTCCTCCACCCCTTTGACCTCAAAGGAGCCGAGGGGGGTCGTGGGGTCAGAGATCAGAGTGAGGGCGGAGCCCATAGGGCTGGCTGGCCTCCTGCACTGAGTGGCTGGTGTGTCTGTAAGTGGAAGTTTGTAAAATGGATGAGGTGTAAGCGACAGGTTGGAAAGGAACACCCAGGAGGGAGAAGTTAAATTCAGCCACTGAGTGACAAGTACCTGCATGTCCCCCTTGTGGAAGCACCACAAAAACCAGGGAACCCGCCCGGGGCCCTGGGTGCACACTGCTGGCCCTCCTCCCCAGTCCCGCACTCGCCCTTTGCTGTTCTCTGGCGGCTGGTTTCCGTGGTTTGAGCCCCCTCTCTGCCATCCATGTGATCTCTCTGCACCTCACTTTTTCCATCTCTGAACTGGGGATAAGAGCAGCTACCTCAAAGATCGTAGAGAGGAGTATATCAGTGAATGATAACAGAATAAAAAAAAAAAAAAAACCAAACCAAAACCACCCTCAACCCATAGCCCACGGCCCACAAACTCTCTAGAATACACGGCTCGCTTTTCTTGGGCTTTCTTCCAGGAGTGAAGCGTTATCGGTGGTACTAGGAGACACAGGCATGCACGTCTGCCTCTTCTCAAAGCAACTTCTGTTGTTTTGTAAAATGAGTGTGAGGACAGGTGTTCAGACTCCAGTGTCAGCCATGCGGCCCAGGGTCCCGCCTGCGGGGCCTCAGTGACCTTGTCTATAAAATGGAAACAGCTCTGCGCTTACCCCTGAGGGCTCCTGAAAGACGTGCAGAGGGTGTTGCAAGGTGCCCAGGGCAGAGCCGGCGTTCCCAACCAGACCCTGGGTTCCCCTCGACTCTCGCGGCCACAGGGCTTTGGGGGACTGCCGGCTATCATTGCTGTCATCTAGCCAAGGAAACGAGCTGGAAAGAAAGGTGCAAATCCCACTGGGAGCGCCTACTATTCCTTGGAAGGAAGACAGTACCTCTTTCATCAGGGTCTCCGGGGGCCTGGGCCATCCTGGCTGCAGGGGCTGGGAGCCTGGAAGCGTGTGGCAGGCGTCTACACCGTGGCTGGGAACGGACAGGCTGGGTGGTGGCGGGGTGTCCTTGAGTGGCCGGACTGGGTGCTCCTGCATCTGCGAAGGGTGGGTGTTTGCTGTTCACACTCCAGAAACAAGCCTAGTCAGCCTGACCTGACCAGATTTCTGGGGAAAATGAAAACGAAACTCCTGTGTGTGGCCTCAGAAAAAGAGATTGAAAGCAGAAGCGATGAGTGCGGGCCTCTGACTACATGTTGGTAGAAGGAAGCTGAGCCTGGCAAGACCAGAGCGTTCTCTGGAACCACGGGGCTTCCCTGACTTTCTGGGCGCTCGCTACTGCCCACCCGGATCCCCACACAGAGGCTGAGGCCCCCTGGGGGGCGGGGCGCTCCAATTGCTTGTGCGTGTCAAAATCACAGCTTTTTAAAAAAATTTTTTACTGTTATGTTAATCACCATACATCATTAGTTCTTGATGTAGTGCTCCATGATTCATTGTTTGTGCACAACACCCAGTGCCCCACGCAGAACGTGCCCTCCTTAATACCCACCACCAGGCTAACCCATCCCCCTACCCCCCTCCCCTCTAGAACCCTCGGTTTGTTTTTCAGAGTCGTCTCTCATGGTTCGTCTCCCCCTCCGACTTACTCCCCTTCATTCTTCCTCTCCTGCTGTCTTCTTCTTTTTCTTTTTTCTTAACATATGTTGCATTATTTGTTTCAGAAGTGCAGATCTGAAAGCACAGCTCTTTTTAGCGAGCACCTGCTATGTGCTTTCCAATATTATGTGCCCCTCTGACTCCCCTTCAGGGTAGGGGCTAGTACTGATGTCTTTTCTCAGAGAGGAAACTGAGGCTTAAGTCGATGCAGTCACTTGTCCAAGGCTGGGTTTTAACTCAGCCCACAATTTATTGGCTGTGTGACTTTGGGCAAGTTCTTAAACATATTTGTGCCTCAGTTTCCTCATCTGTAAAATGGGGCTAATAAAAGTAGCTACATCAGGAGGTCCTGGGGAGGACTAAAGGGGGTAATCCAGTTGAATAGTCTGACCAGACCCCTCCAGTGCCATCTCCAGCCAGGAGCACAGCGGGGCACCCACATACTTGGAAAAGGGATCTATCACTTCCATCTAGTTTCAAGGGTCTCCTGACCCCCAAGTAGCTCAGAGCCCCCGTTCTTTACCAGGTAATAGAAGGGGAAACCGGGGTTTCCCGTGGTGAAGGGCTTCGGGCCAGGCAGCCAGGAGGGTCATGAACTCAGCCCTGGAAGTCCCTGGGCTCAGGGTCCCAGCCGCAGACGCCTGGGGAGGGTCTCAACCTTGGTGGACTTTGCCCCAGCACTTCTGCAAAGGGAGGGGCTCGCACGTCTGGGGCAGTGCTTGCAGAGCGAACCGGGCAGTCCTGACGCCCAGTCCACACCCAGGCCACTTACAGCCCAGACCCCGGGGGCGGGGCGCGCGTCCCAGGTGAGGTCACACGCATCCACTCCCCACTGCCACGTCGGACAGCTCAGCAGCAACCGGAAACCGCAATGGTGTTTGTTTCTCTTTTATGTAAAACCGAAAAAGTGTTTCTCCCTATGAATTGTCAATATCAATTTTAAGTGTAACGGGGGCTGTTGAGGGAGATTGTGGAGGCGCACACAGGGAGGGGGCTCCGGCTGAGTCCCCAGGGGGAGGCCGGGGTGGGGGGGGGCGGCGTGCCGGGACTGGCCACCAGGTGGCGCTCGCTCATCAACCTGGACCCTGGGCCGCTGGCTGTCTCTCTCATGTGGAGGGACCTCCCACCCATCACCACCCCCCAGGGAAACCCCTGACTCCATCTGGCTCCACTCCGGGCTTCTCGCCATCCTCCCTGGCCTCTCTTTCTCAGGTTCCTTGACTCCTTCCCTGCATGCTGCCCACCTCTTCGTGTGGAGGCCTGAGGCGCTGGCTTTGACCCAGGTGTTTGGTAGGCTCACAGGTCAGGCTGAGACTCGGGCTTAATCCTGAGGGTCAGATTCACTTCTGGAAGGACCACTTGTGCGTCCGCGGTGGAGGCTGGCACCCTTATGGCCTGTGTCTGTCTGGACAGTTTGGGATGGCTCCTTTCTGCCCTGCCGTGGCCCCATCCCCACCTCCCCACCCCCATCCGGAGACCATGTGGGGCTTGCACACTGGCTTTGGAGCTTGCAGCAGGAACCACTATGTTGGGAAGACCAAGCCCCCCTGGGACATGCCACCTGGACAGGGTTTCTGCCTTGTGTTCTCCTCCAGGGCAGGCCCCAGCTGCCGCCCTGCCCCACCCTAGCTGTGTGTCACTACCTCCCTGGGCCTTGGTTTCTTTAATTATAAAACAGAGATAATAAATAAAAAAAAGCATAGCTTAATCGGTGCTCACAAAAGTGGCAAAACTTGGAAAATGTGATAAAATGCATCTGTACAAAATAACTTTAGGCACTAGAGACAAACAAACAAAAACCCCAAAGCATTCCATAGCCTTCTGTCACATGTCTGGAATTTATGGAAGGCACGCACCTACTGTGAGTGTCTTGCCACACTGAGTGGGATTCTCACTTTTAAAGATCTGGATTATCTTGTATTTTATTTCTCAATTTAAGAGATTTTGAAGGTAATTTTGATATAGGGATTATCTTTGACCCAAATATCAGTGGCTTCAGCAATGCAGATGCTTCTTTATTTCTCCCCTAACAGTGTGGTAGGCAGTCCAGATTTGCTGTGGCACACCATGGTGTTGAGACCCTGGCCCCTTCTATCTTGTTGCTAGCTCATTTGTGGCCTCCATTCCCAGGTTGGCCTTATGTTCTAGAATGGCTGCACAAGATCCAGCCATCACATCTGCCTTCCTTCCCTCAGGGAGGAGGAAAGAGAAGGGCAGGTATCCCCCCTTTAAGAACACTTGTAAGTTGCACACACACTTTACTGACGTCCCAGTAGTATCATGGCCCAGCAAGGAAGCTGAGGGAAGATGGTACTTATTCTGGGCCATAATGTGCTGAGCTAAAATTGGGGGTTTTGGTACTTCAGAATAGGAGACAATAGATATTGGAGGATGCCAAGCTGTCCCTGCCATTTCGAGACTCTGTTGTTCTCCCAAGGAAGGAGCATGGATACTTCCTCTGTGCCTGCAGGTATGTCTACTCACGGGAACCTATGTATTGAGCAGATTCGAGGCTGAGTGCAAAGGCAGTGTCCACATTCTCAGAGCCTCCTTTCCAGTGTGGAAGGCTCCCTACTCTGCTGAGAAAGGGCCTCGAAGGCCACAGGAGTTCCAAGATGGGGCCACCCCCTGCCCGAGCCCAAATCTCTTTTTGCCTTGGAAAGCACATTCGTTTTTTTATGGTTTGTATTTTTCTGGAAACTATTAGAACTCTCCACCCAAACCAGATGATAATTACATGTTACTGATCTCCAGTCTTTACATCTCTCTCTCTCTCTTTTAAAGAAGAGATATTTTTACTGCACATTGTTTTGGCAAAACCCAGTCTCCGTTCTACCAGGCAGCCTGGATGTTATTTTCACATTTTCTCTGTGAATTCCCCTCAGGGAAGGGAGTGGCAAGGTCTGAAGGCACCAAATGTGGGTAATAATGTGTCTTCGGTCAAGGGCAAAGATCAGAGAACCAGAGGTGGCCAGAGGAGACAGGGATTGCACGCAGTCTCGAGAGCTATCAACAGAGGGCGAGGAACAAAGATAAGGGAAAGCTGCTTTGTCAAAGGCAGCAGGACCTCTGTGGCAGCTCCCCATAGGGACCTGCCTTGGCTCTGTTAGCTGCCCTTCAAGGCAGAGCTCAGTGGGCTTCCATTGGTCATCTGTGTCCACCGCAGTTGGACGGACCTGGGGCTCTGGTCTGGCACCCCCACCTTTTAGCTACAGGCCTAGGGGCGAGTCACTAGTCTTCCTGAGCCTCAGTTTCTCCCTTTGGAAAAGGAGATAAAAGCAGCACCTACTTCTGGGGTGATTGCCAAAGTTAAATGAGGTCATGCACCTGGGTCCTACCAGAGCACCAAGCATGTAGTATGTGCTTAATAAACAGGAGCTAGTCCTATCTTTACTTCATGATCCCCAGCTGTCCCGCTCTGACACGAAAATGCAGTCCCATTTCATCTGGTCTTTCACCAAATAATGTTTTGTGCTTTCTTTATCCCAGGCCCCGAGGAGGAGACTGTGGTGGGGGTGAAGGAAGGCTTCTCCTCACCGGTTCCTGGATCCGCCTCTCACTCCGGCTGTAGAAGAGGCCATACGGCCCAATGCAGGGATTGGGGGGGGGCGCTCAGGCTGAGTCCAGGGTGGACCAGCACTCCGCACCCCCGTGTCGGCCAGTTGAGTGAGCCAGGGGGATGGGCAGGGGCCGGGGCACTGATGGCCTTGGTAGAAACTTGAGATTTTCACTGGGAGCAGAAGAAGGGCCACTGGAAGATTTTCATCCAAGCTGACTTGGGTAAAAGCAGCCTTGGGTGCTTGAGGAAGGTCAGCAAAAGGTGGGCGGTTGGGGGGGGCAAGCACCAGGCTATTTCTCGTCCTCCCGCACACCAACACTCTGTAGAAAGCCCTTCCCCACATCCCAACAGATGGATTGAAATGAATTCTCATCTAAGTTTTAGTTTTTGATCAAAAGACATTTTGATGATGTTACTACCAAAATTATTTGCCTACAAGAAATTCATTCATTACAGCCGGCCGTAAGCTCTTCATTGAGCAATCAGTATTCTTGGGGATTCTGGCAAAACGGGAAGAGCTCACCTATAAATTCGTTTCAAATATAATGAAGTATAATGAAATGTTTATGATGACTAGATCGGAACAATTTATGAACATGACGTAATGTTAGGTTTCCTACACATTTCATTAAACATTTGTTGATCCTGATTTTGTAACGTTTAGCCCCCTACCCCCTGTTTTGGAACTCAAAACATTTTCACAGGCTCTTGAAGCATCTGTAGGCCTGAGGTGCTAAGACTTCTATGCCCAGAAGGTATGATGGGGAAATGCAGAGACACACATGCTAAGGGCCAGGATTCCTGCTCTTCTGGGGGCTGTGGCCCCGCTGAGTTGTGGGCAGGGTTGTTGACGAGCGTGGGGCGGGGGATGGGTTGAGAGTAGAACAGTTTTATGTGTCAATTGGTAACTTCTTTTCATTTTAAATGGATATCCTGCTCTAAAATTTGACCCAATGATGTTTCTGAAAAGACTGGGGAACTCCGTAGCAACCACTGAAGACCCTTGAACAAGCTGGCTTTGAATAGCGCAGGCACACTTATACGCGGATTTTTTTTTTTTTTGATAAATGCGGTATGATACTGTAGATGTATTTCCTTTTCCTTATGATTTTCTTAACATTTCTTTTCTCTGGCTTCCTTTACTGTAAGAATACAGCATATAATATACAGAATGTACAGAACAGGTGTTAACCAACTGTTTTTGTTATCAGTAGGCTTCTGGTCACTAGTTATGTCTTTACGCAGTCAGAGCTACACATGGATTTTCGACCTCACAGCATGTTCGTTGCCCCTAATCCCTGTGTTGTTCAAGGTCCAACTATATTTAGTTAGAGCTTACTATGGACCCTGTATTTATTATTTCATTGACTCCTAGCAACCTGTAAGGTTGGTAAGTAATATTAAATCTGCATTTTGCAGACAAGAAAACTGAGGTGCAGAGAGATGGCTGCGTAAACTGGTCAAGATCATGGAGCTAGCTAGTGGAAGAGATGGGGTTCAAGCCCAGACTGTTGGGCTCTAGCATCCAAGCTCTTGGCAACTATTTCCCTCGCTGTGAACAGGTGTGTGGTCATAGCGCTGCACGGGGAAGGAGCAGTCCTTTCTCTGCTAAACACCTCTATGCCACTGAGCATACTAATCCCATCGTGGGGCTCCACCTCCTAAGACCACCGTGTTGGATAGGGTTTCGGGGTATGGATTTAGGGGGACACAAACATTCAGTCCATACCAGGGCCCCTATGGGCCGAGCGCTGTGCTGAGTACTCAGAGGCCCAGAAAGTTGACTGTTTGGAAGAAAGTCCAGCACTTAAGATTTTTTTTCTCATTAACAATTTTTATATTGATTCTATGTTGAGATGATACTTTGGATATATTGGGTTTAAAAAAAAAGACAACTGAACAGGTGCCTGCAGCCCTGAACACACATGCATGTGTGCACACATGTCCTTATGTACACACACACACACACACACACACACACACGAGCCCATCTGTGCCTTCTGCTCAGTGAGCCCCCTTTTCTCCGAGGTGCTCTGATCCTCTCACTTTGCTGACCACCACTTTACAGTTTGCAGTCTGAGGCTGGGCGCCCCATAAAGCAGAGATCGGA